CAGTATGCTTTTAAAATGTTCATTGTATCTTAAATATTGGGTATCAGGAACCCATATTTTCACAGTTAGATCAATATTAATTGAAATATACCAATATTAAATTATAATTTGTGTTTTTAATGTCAAAGATTATGGATAATATTGGGTTAAGAGATTTATCTACTTTTAAGTTATTAGTATAGAAATTGGTAGAAATTTGAGTATGACAATATTTTTGGAAAACACATCATCTATTATATTGCCCCAAACTGATCCGCAGTGAATATTCGCTAGGCCGCGACAATCACTGATAAGGATGACATCGATGCGACTTAATGAACCACAAATATTAATTTTCCTCCGACAAATTTAATTCTAAAACATATTTTTTATGTATTAGAAAAATAAATAAAGACGTTTGAAGTATTTGTAGGTAAAAATTATTTCCTGTTGTAGTGTAAATGGGTATTAAAATGAGTAAAAGGCACCATTCTGCTTGAATCAGTAGCGTCTTAATTTTCCTCCGACAAATTTAATTCTAAAACATATTTTTTATGTATTAGAAAAATAAATAAAGACGTTTGAAGTATTTGTAGGTAAAAATTATTTCCTGTTGTAGTGTAAATGGGTATTAAAATGAGTAAAAGGCACCATTCTGCTTGAATCAGTAGCGTCTTATGTAAACAATGCACACGCCATTGAGCCAATGATTGACGCCGCGTGATATGACGTCATGTGTTGAAGGCAGTCATCCTTTACAGAGATATTAGAAGACTTTCGTAATACTCTGTAAAACATATTGATATTGCCCCTGTCAATGTTGGTAAAATACAGTAAATCTCCTTAAAAATAATGTGATGTTTTTGCTTCCCTTCTCAAAGCTGGCAGAGGGATCCTATACAAACTTTTACGGATGAATCAAATGCTTCACATAAAATTCCTGAAGAATTGTCTTTGAAATAACTCATTGAAAAAATGTTATATACAACTAGAAGAAAACAAGTCATAACAAGCCAACAGTGAGGCTGATGTCCCCCGCCGAAATTGCAAAATAAATAGATGACACATATTAATTAATCGCACATTTATTTTTTTCACCAAGTTTCATCACTCTCTATCAGATAGAATCAAGATTATCTTGTCCCAAACCATCGACAAATGAAATCGATTAGCTCTGCTTAGCTTCAGCTCGAAATGTTAATTATTGAACTCAGTCAAGACATTCAACTAATGAACATCTACATATACATCAAGTTTAAACATTCACCTAATAGACACCTATGCCAAGTTTGAACATTCTACCTCAATTAGAAGGAGAGTTATTGTGTTCCAAAGTTTCTACCAATCAAATTGCTTATCACTCTGCTTACCCTCAGCAAAAAATGTTCATTATCGAACTTAGTTAAGGTATTCATATAATAAATCTATACACCAAGTTTCATCAATCTCACTTAATTAGAACTAAAGTTATCGTGTCCCAAAGCATCAACCAATCAAATTGCTTATCTCTGCTTACCCTAAGCGGAAAATGCTCATCTTCGAACTCCATCAAGGCATTGACCTAATCAACACATACACCAAGTTTGAACATTCTAGCTCAATTAGGAAGAGAGTTATCGTGCCCCAAAGTATCAACACATCAAATTGCTTATCTCTGCTTACCCTAAGCGGAAAATGCTCATCTTCGAACTCCATCAAGGCATTGACCTAATCAACACATACACCAAGTTTGAACATTCTAGCTCAATTAAAAGTTATCGTGTCCCAAAGCATCAACCAATCAAATTGCTTATCTCTGCTTACCCTAAGCGGAAAATGCTCATCTTCGAACTCCATCAAGGCATTGACCTAATCAACACATACACCAAGTTTGAAAATTATAGCCCAATTAGGAAGAGAGTTATCGTGTCCCAAAGCATCAACCAATCAAATTGCTTATCTCTGCTTACCCTAAGCGGAAAATGCTCATCTTCGAACTCCATCAAGGCATTGACCTAATAAACACATACACCAAGTTTGAACATTCTAGCTCAATTAGGAAGAGAGTTATTGTGTCCCAAAAAGTGTGACGGACAGACAGACGGACAGACAGACGGACGGACAGACAGACAGACAGACGGACGAACCCATTTTAATAGTCCCCTGTCGATAGGCGGGGGACAATTATTTGATAAAAACAATGTTTAGTTGAAAAGTGAAAAACATAAAAAATACCTCTGACTTTAATTAACCATTCTATCGGTAAAACCAAAACACATTGAATGACAAATAATATTATGATTATATAAATCTTTATACTGAGTTCACATGTACATGTTAAAACAAATTTGATGAAATATATTACAATGCCTACCTGCTGGTTTAAATATATATCATCTATGTGTTAAATATCAAGTGTAATATAGGCAGTAATCCAATATATCTCTAGCTATCTAGAAACAGGTAATCATACTATAGTTTATACCCACAGGAAACGCCATAAAAGGAGTAAATCATATGGAATTTTGCCAAAGTTTTCCATTTAATTGATTTCAGTATTTCATTTTTACATCTAATCCCTTGGTACATTGTAAATGAAATGCTTTCTCCAAGATATTTTTTCTCTATCTGGTTAACTGAGATAAAATGTAGTCTTTGTATTGATAACAGATAATAAAATTTATGATTTAATATTTGATTTGTTATGAAGCACTTCAGAATAAAGTATAAAGTATTATCATTTAGTAAAGTTATATGTATGTTAATGTAGTATGTACAATAAAGTATTATCATTTAGTAAAGTTATATGTATGTTAATGTAGTATGTACAATAAAGTTGATAGCTATCACATTTTTAAACAAATAAATAAGAAGTGGTATCTGATGTTCTAGATATGAGAATGGATACTCTGTTGTGAATATTTGATTGACAATTCTCATCAATAAATATAGTTGTAGTAATAAATGTGACATTGATGTGTGAAGTCATCATTTTACACAAAAGTCACAAAGTTAGTCTAGTTTAATTTCTGCAATAATTTTCAGTGAAGGCAATCAAAATTTCAACACCCATCGCAAAGACTATAAACCATCATATACTCCATTCTAATTTTGTACAGGTACATCCATAGAGAGAGAGGGGTCAACACAAACTAGGTCATTTGGGGGCTGATGCATGGTTCAATTTTATTTCAATAATTCATTTGAACATAGAGGTCTAAGAGAAAACTCATGAGGTTAGACAGGTGACCATATTCCATGTCACGTATAAATGCCATATTGAAACCATGCCATGCGATAGACCATTTGGCCACACAAACCCGAAAAGTTACATGGAGAAAAAGTGTATATTTCTTGCAATACATGTATATGAAAATTCTCTATATTTTTGTTACCAGAACTCATCATGCTATAAGTTTTTCTGGGAAATAAGTTATTAAATCTATCACATCAATTAGTAACCTATTTATAGCTAGTTAATGTATTCTTCCTATGGCATCTGTAATGATATGTTATTATTTTGAGTTTCCGGTTCATCATTGTGAACACATTACAATCATGTTTACATAGCTATCACCTCTGATTATTAATCAATATCAGCTTCACACTTTATCATTGTTCAAGACAGCGTTGGAATGATTCCATATTGTGTGTGAAGGACTTTTAGAGAAAGAAGCTTAACTGAAAGACATTCAACTACTTGTCAAAATAAATACTAATTGTACTATATGAATACTTTAAGTCATTATTCAAAAGTCATTTCAATATTCAATTCAATTCAAATTTTAAGAATTCTAGAAATTTGGACTCTTTCAAATCAATATATTTTCCATATCAGTCTATTGCTTAATATACATTGTAAACTCTAATTAGTTTTAACTGACAGTTATTGGTCCAAAATTCTATTCAGTTTTAAAAAAATTATACAACTTCAACATTATCACTATTTGAACACTGGATTAAAATCAAAGGTCCAGTGTTTGGTGCATTTTCAGATTTATAGAAATTTTAACTCTTTTCAATCAATACATTTTTATCTGTTTATCTTGTTTTTGAATAATAGTTAAAAAAAATAGATAATGTAAAGAGAATATGTTGAAATTTCAGTCAAATTGCTTCACTCTGAGCTGAGAAAACCTCTTTTAAAAACATTGTAGCCTTAACTGTCATTGTTACGATAATAAACAAAATCTTGATTATCCATTTTTATGGTTAATCATGAACAGCCGTTGAATCACAGATTGGATTCAAATCTGTTTAAAGCGGAAATTGCAAATTTTCAAGTTATATTTTTAAAATGTATTAAAATAAAGCCTTAAAATAGATGGTATCCATAAACAGTCCTACCTTGTTAAAGAACAATCCTATAATTCGCTATTGCCAGCTGAGAAATTGGCAAAAATATCATTTTTAACTTCAAATTCCAACGTTGGAAAATGGCTGCCCCATGTTGTCAATAGCAAAACAGGGAAGGTAATTGTGTTATTTCCTGTGTCCTAGATTTTTAAGGGTGGGAAATAATGTCCATGATCTTATAATAGTGATTTGATAACCTATTGAGCAAAAGACATAGAAATAATTATGTTTTGACTTTCTTAGAAAATTTGAAATTCTCGCTTTAAATCATACCCATCCAGATGGCATTGACAGTTGATTATGGTCTTGTCATGTTAATAAATGTCTAATTAATAGTTTATGTAACTAGCTCTTGCATACTGCCTGTTTAATAGACATCACATACTCTTAAAATTTGAATATATGTGGGTGTACTACACTTGTACAATAAAACTGTCCGACGACCTGTTCTAATTTACTCATCAAAGTAATAAGCAACTGCTGAATTAAACACTTTGTGCACTTTAAAAGTTTATGAAGAGTAAAGCAATCTAATTTGACAAAGAGAAAAGCGTGGTATGAAATTAAGAGTAGAATGTGGGTGAGATGTTGTACAATGTAATCAGACAGATTTACAATATAACAGGAGATTGCTTTTAGTCGTTTTATTTGCTAAATGAAATAAATGAAAATTCTGAGAGTCTTACCCGCCCTCATCATCATCGTCTTCATTACTTCCTGAATGTAATGCAGTGGTAGACTTGGCTTTCACTGATACTATGCTAACTTGGGGATCATCTTTAGACTTGCTGCTACGTTTCCTTGTGCTTTTAAACAATCTCCGAAAAGCTTCAAATGGCTTTAATTTTTTCTTCTTATCCTTTCCGTCTGCAAAAAAAAAATTACAATAATTAAACATTTTGAAGAATATACACAGACTGAGATGTCTGATAAAAAATCAGACATCCAATAAAAAGGTAAATTTGATCACCTATTTTAAAAAGTTTCTAAATTAAAACAAGTTTGAACAGTCCAGTCACTGCTTGCTTTTGATTAAGAAAAAACACAAATTTGTTACATGCAAGTATGTCAACACTTCACCATAGAAATGGTATCTAGTGTTTTATAAATAAAAGCATACTCTGCATCATGCACAAATCTATCCAAAACTTCATGGAACTGGATGTTATTATGTACAATATCAAAGACTTCCACTAAAACGACAGAATCTAGTTATTCTAAAATAAACCACACACGGGAATTTGAATAAATGTGAAGGCGTTTTATTATCTCGTTTGGTTTTGCGTGGAGTTATTTGTATTGAATTCAGTCATGTTTATACCCAATAAAAAGTATCCTAGCTCTACATGTATATTGACTAAGAAATCTGATGTTAAATATAGAAACTATGACATCATAACAAATCCAAGCCAGACTTCGAACACAGGACCCCAGGTGTGGCACTCGGCAAATCTCGACAGATTCCGGTACCCTACATCTAATCTCGGCTGTATGACAGTAAGTGATATGTGCCTACGCCTATACATTTGCGATGCGGCAACTGGTTTACTTTAAACAGGAAAACATGTCGCTTTTACCAAAAAATCCCAAATTGCGTCTTTTGTAGAGTGTATATACCTAAATGAGCAGAGATATTGTCTCAAGGCTGCTGGTTTGATCAAATTCCCTGGTAATTCCCAAAACCCAATGCCAAACGTGACGTTTGTTGATATAATACACTCTCCACAGAAATCTCCATGGGGGCAGCCATTTTTCATTCGGAACCTTTAAAATAGTTCAAATATGGCGGAAATGGTCACACAGCCGAGATTAGATGCGTAGAATCTGTCGAGGTTTGCCGAATGCAGGTGTGGGTGCTGTATTGTCTGACAACAGCAACCCCTATACATGTACATGTTTAATTACAGTTAAGTTTTTTTTAATTTAAAACTATACATTAAAATGAATATTGTTTACAGTATTACTAATGGCATACATGTCGGAAGTTTCCGGTTAGATTAATGACATTTAAATCACTTAATCTTGCCAAATATGGATACACATTTATATTCAAAATCAGGACCTGAGGCTTAGTTAGGATGGTTGAACTGATTGGCATAGAAAAATGGCTAAATCTATTTGTAAAGGCCAGCTCAATTTTCATCTAGGTCGCTGAGATGTAAATAAGGTTAGGGCACGTAATTGTTAGCGATGTAGGTTAGGGTAAGCATTAGGGCTAGGTCCAAGGTTAGGGTTGGGATTAGTGCTAGCCTAGTTTACATCTCGTGACCTTTGACCAAACTTGAAGTTGGCCTTATCAAATAGATCTAACCATTGGAAAATAGACTTTAAACACGTACACCCATTGGTTGATGTACTATTTCAACAATAAAGTGTTATCCTAATATAAAAACATTTACACTGGACTGTAATAACGTGTCCTCTACAGATCTGGTTCCTAGCCAGAACCATTCTAAGCTTGAGTATGGGTGACCTCTTCGCAGAAAAATTAATTTAAGCTGGTTATGGTCAAGGTCATATGGAAAATACAGTATAGTATAAAATATATGTATACCATAGTACTGAAATGGTCAGACCAGACTTAGTTATTATTTCCCAGATAAAAATCACCTTACTTTGGAGGGCCAGTTGAAATTCTGATTATTTGTCCAATTTGATAATATAGATGACTAGGAGTTGATGGGACCTACTTTTTCAATTTTAGTTTCCTTTGGCTTAGAACCTCGAAAAAAGCCCTTTCAAATATAACAATACATTAATGGCATTGACAAGATGATGGTATAAAAACACTGACATTGTACAATAAAGAATAGTAGCTATTGATTTGGTACTAAAGCAGCCACATTATTAGAGCTATGATCATAATACTGTGGTCTGTATAAACTAATATTAGTAATTTCTACCACAGGATATATCACATCACATTCTATTCTAAATCAAGTATAATACTAAGAAAGATTCAAGGAAATAGGGTATTGGGTACAAGCATACACAGACACACACATGTATAAAGTAATCTAATAAATGGATTCATACTTAGTGCACAAAGTTTAATATCAAAATGGCTATACCTTTGGGAATAAGAAAAACTTCTTTCAATTTTATAAATGGCAAGAAATGTCTATTAACTTAATTTGTGCCAGAAACTGCTATGATCTTTCCACACTTAATTTTTTCTGGGTAGTTATTTATCAATGGAACAATATATTAGTTTGTGAATAACTCAATAGACAATTAGCAATTTTAATTAAAATATAATTATAACTTTATAAATTGAACTAAATCATTGTTTGGATGTATTTATTAATCCCAAATCTCTGGTCCCTGCTTCTCCAGGAAATTGAGTGGTGTGTATCCAACCTGTATGATTTGAAGGCAGGTAAATCTGCTTGCAGACAACTTGGGTTTGTGTGAGTCAAATGTTATACTCAGTAGAGCAGTCTGCTGTGGCAATCTGAACGACAGACTCACCCTATCTGCAGAGAAGTGACTCTGACACAGTGAATAGCCATGATATCCATATGACGTTATCTAAACGTCACAGGTCATGAGGTCACATCAACAAACAAATGTAAACACCATCATTATGATCATTATCAACATTACAAGACACAATGTTACATTGTAAACAATAGCCTTCTTGCAGCCTTTAGGACTGTATAATCCGTACAGAACGTCTTATCGCTTCTTCCAATGATTTTTCACAAAAATAACATCATCTACAGACTACAACTCTAGATTTGACGTCGGCATATTGGCACTATTTTGTGCTTCGGTCGTGTCTATTCCAGATATACACAATCAATTCTGTTAATGTTTTTAGTGTGGGGATTGACTAAAAGTTAATTTATTTCAGTTCTAAACAAAAATTTAAAACTTTAAAGCAATTTTAAAAAAATAGCAAAATTCTGGCTGGGATTACTGAGCAAAATGGCCATTCACTGTATACGTGCGAAAAAAAAGCCAGCTACCATTTAATTTTCGTATGTTAGGTACGTACGCTGCTGTGGCTGTGATGTTTTGAGACTTGTCCCTTAACTGGGAGATTTCTCCACTTCAAACAAACTTTTGTAATACTGTTGAGCCCTAAACCTAACCCTCCTTCTCTGATGGTCAAAACAGACATGAAAAGTCCAAACTCCAATCCTGAAATTTCATTGGTCCTTAGTCATCAATCTTGTTATCAAACTATTTTGATCAATATCAAAACTCCTTACATCTTGATCAGCTTAATTTTTCTAAGAACCAAATAAAAGAACATTTAAGTGAGTTGTAAATAGTAAGTAAATGTTCCAGGTAAAATGTTTCAGGTTAGGTCAATATTGAGAGAATAATTGTACAGAAAAGGCCCTTCATCACATTATTTACTCACAACTCGCTTTCCTCCTCATTATCAAACTTTTCACTTGCAAAATTTTGTGAAAAGAAATTAAATGCAGCATAAACATTTACTTGGAAAATATTTGTCAGAAAATAATGGGGAGTTGGATTAACCCAAATATATTGGGGGAAAAAATAAAAAGCTTTTAAAAAAGTGGTTGCCATGCATGATACACCTACATTTTGTAAGAGATGGACAGAGAATAAGATAAAAAAAAAAAAAAAAGTGATTTTTTTGTACAATCAGATGCCATAATCCAGGAAGTTAAGAGTCTGATTATATTATCGAAAGCAACTCCGATCTTTGGGATATTAACATATATTTTTCATCAAAATTGGATAAAATTTTTCACCTCTAGAGATTCCACAACCTTGGTATTAAATACTTTTACACTATTTGCCTATAGGGAGCGGCCATTTTGTTGGGCAGTTTCGATCAAACTCATTTGTCATTATGATGTAACGGAGAAATATTTTAACATTTTTTAAAATTGGATAAAAATTCTGACCTCTAGGATCCACAAGCTAAAATCGTGATTTTTTTGTACAATCAGGGGCCATAATCCATGAAGTTATGGTCCGATACATGCCACTATCAAAAGGAACCAAGATTTTTGGATTTGGTAAACTTTTTTTTTTTCACACAACTAAAATAAAGTGTACACTTTAATTTTACAACTGTTGAGAATTTAAAACCTGTACACATTAATAATATTGCCTGTTGAAACCTGCTCACGAGATAATAATTTGTCAAGCAGAAAATTTCTCAATTTTGGTCACCTTGAAACTGGCTGTATTTCTTTCCTACGCAGGTCTTCAACAAATAACACATTATCCAGCTCACAAACACGAATGGGTTGTTTTTCAACTTGCAAAGTTTGACTTTAAAAAGGTGTCTGCATGTAAACTAAGTTGTGATCAGTCAGAAGATTGAAAAGATTATGTTATCTTTCCAAAGATGACACAACCACAGTGGCTTGTCTTAAAATTTGATGTCAACCAATGAAAAGTTGCATGTATAAGACATAGTGTAGGGTGAAAACTCTTCCATAAATATTATGAAAACGTGTACTGATGACTGAAACCTGTTACTAATGTATTTTAAGAGTTAATCAATTACTATCTCAAACTGTCAAGTTATTGCAAAATTGTCACCTTTTTTTTTCAAAATTAAATAAGCTACGTTGTATTTTTAAGAGTCTTAATTAAATATTTCTATTAGTTAAATAAAATGGACAAAGAAAGATCTGGGTTAACCATCTAGTAGCTGTTATTGATACTGGCCTTCTTTATTTCAAATTTTTGCTAACATGTAGACAGAATCTGCAGGGGTCCTCATTAGCAGTGGGAGACAAATGGTCACCTATAAGGTGAAATGGATTATTGATCTAAAATATATATTTTTTTTAAGGTCTCCATACTTTGTTCAAAATATAGTTCCTGAGGGTTTCAATAACACTGTTTACGTTACTCGGTGTTATGTGTGT